GGCTCCGGTACTCAAGGAACATTATCCGATTTTATGGCGTCGTGGTTGATGATGAAGACGAACACGTCAAGGGGCTGCTCATTAGCTACGCCGTTCATGGTGCGCTCATTGATGTCATTTACGATAACAAGCAGGACTCAGAGCTGGGTCTGCCCTGGCCGATTCGTGAGAAGTGGGCACGCCAAATCGTCCAGGGCTTGGCGGATATTCATGAATCTGGCTTTGTGCAGGGGGATTTCACTCTCTCAAACATAGTCATTGACGAAGATGATGATGCCAAAATTATTGACATTAACAGGAGGGGCTGCCCGGTAGGCTGGGAGCCCCCTGAAGCAACACCTCTTATCGAAAGTAATCAGCGCATTTCCATGTACATCGGGGTCAAATCCGACCTGTATCAACTCGGCATGGTCTTGTGGGCATTGGCGGCACAGGATGATGAGCCTGAAGCTCAAGGACGGCCGCTACAGCTCGGAGACGAGTACATCGTCCCAGATTGGTACCGGCAAATAGTAGACATTTGCCTGAGCGAAGATCCGCGCCTTCGATTGCAAGCCTCATCTCTAATGTCTCTATTCCCGGAGCCTGCGATCGGAGACGACATGGCACCCCCGTCAATCTCGGTGGACGATGGCTATACCATGAAGGAATACTTCGTGGACGGCAACCACGGCTATGCCAGGGTCAAAACCGTTCAGCCAGCTCACGACTGGTCGTACGTAAATCTAGGCCAACCGTATGTTGACGAACCGACGAGGGGCTTCTCACAGGACCCGTATTACTACACTAGAGGCCGCTCTCCGCCTAGCCCCCTGCCGAGCCATTACGGGCGTTGCGACTCGCCTAATATGGGACGCAATGTCTCCAGCTGGGCTGAAGCTAGAAACATTGCACCTTCATACAGCGATATTGGAGCAGGCGAGGTTTATGATCAGAAGAGCGCAACACCGACAACAAGCAAGGACTCCGTCGTTACGCCCGAGCCACTGGAAGAGACAAGCAAGTCAGTCCGGCAAAAATTGGAAGCACTGCAGTGGACTCCCCTGTCCAGTGACCTCGCCGCCCTTGATCGGGCTGAACTCGACCATACGCCAGGGCACGATAGCAAGAGACTCATTGGGGAAGGACTTGCCGACACGCTGAGGAATGATAAGTTGGAACCAGCGTATGCTTCCGTCGATCCTGTTGAGACGCGACCTATGATGGCTAGTCCCATGACGATCAAGCATATCGAAACAGATGAGAGAGACGTAGAGGAAGAGGGGGTGATGATGAGAGAATCTGAAGGCACAAAAGAGAGTTCTTCGAACGAAAAAGGAATTGCAGGGCAATCAGCGCCCGGACAGACGGGGGAAACAGAACCCGAAGAACAGAACAGTACCAGGCAAAGTAACGTCACGACAGCGGACTCGACAGACAAGGGGCTTGCTATGGACGACCTAAAAGTCACCGAGACTGAGGTCGATACAGATGTCGCGCATCCGGCCGAACCGGGACTCGACCCTACAACGCAAGAGGCGCCAGCGGCGGAGCCACCTGCTGCTGCTGAGATCCCCGCGGCAAACGAATCCGTGAGAGCTCAAGAGGTGGATACACCAGAACTCAAAGGGGTTGGAGCGGTACATATCAACACTGACGAGCAAACGATGCGGGAGAAGACGTCTCTTGATGATGACTTCTCAACGGCGACAGCAGCAACTACGACAGATGCCCAGAAATGATGTAAGACTAGGAGCTGGGGAAACTGCGGGCGATTTTTGCATAGGCGCAGGTTAATTGTCCAGGCATAAGGAGGCGCCATTTCTTCTTTTCTTTTACTTGATGGAGATACTGCCGGCTTCAAATTCATTTGGTGGTCACAATGGTTTTCATTTTATGCGGCATAGCATTGGTGTAGAGATCCGGGGAACACTGTTCGTGGAATAGAAGGCGGCTTTTGAACATCTTCGATCTATACCGAGACTCGGGACGTGGACAGAGTCGCATTGTGGAATATCGTGAAATCGAAATGTCGTGAAATCGAAGGCAGGGCTCTAGCTGGGACTGCCCAAGTTGGATGAGAAACGCGATGGTGTATGCGTATATGACTTTTCAGCATAAGTGAGTAGTTTGTCCAAGTTGATGCCTCCGGTGACGAGATATGAAGCCCTTTCCTCTCGCGTCAGCCACATGAAGTTGGCCAGTAGTTGTCTCGTCCGAGCAGGGATGGCCGTTCGTAGGTTACTCGCTTGACGACGAGATCACTGGGGAATGCGAGTCAAGTCATTGATACGTGTAAGTACTCCGTAAATCCGAGGGCTTCCTGCAGTCGATTTGCCACAGCTCGGCAGTCTTTGGAAGGGAAAGAAACGGCCTAGATGCTTGGGTACAAATAAGCAAAGTTGGTGAGTCTGGACCTCGAAAAGAACGGAGCGGTGTGTAGGCCGGTCGTCTTTACCGATTTTGGGGTAGGTTAGGTGCGGCAAGCTCGAGAAGGGAGCTTGGAGCTTGGGTCGCCTCACACATCTATCAGGTGCGGCTACTGATATTAGGGTACGGATAGAGAGCTCTGGGCAGCGGCTGCAAAGAGGATGGGATGAAAAAGAAGGAGTGCATCTCTCTGCTCCCTTGGTGGTGACTGGTGACGGGGATTGGCAGGGCGGATCGGGTGTGGCATCGGCCAAGTGCGAGAGGGGGCGCCTGGCCACATCGGGTTAGCATAGAAACATTACAGAATGGTCAGCCCAACCAGCTGAAGACTCGAGAAACAGGCACCGAGTCTCTTTTGGCGATTATCGCAGACCATCCATGTTCAGTGTGAGAAGACACACGTGACCATCGCCACCGCCGTGAAGGGAGCATCGAGAATGCGCATGGCAAAAAGGATGGCCTCCAAAGAGCCACGAGCAGACAAACCTCGGGACGATAGCGAGGCAAAGACAACTTTCATCCCTGTTGTGTCCTGCAGCACTGGGGCGGAGGATTGCGGGGCAGGGTCCTGTTTCTGTTGGGGATGGGCCGGGATGCCGGAGTGGGATGAGCGGATGTCGTCTTTCTCTTTAACAAGATCACCGGAGAACGCGAAATCAAGGGCCGGACTGGGTGTGTCGCGAAATAATGGACCTGGACCTGGAATTGCCGAGGATGCCTACCCCACACCGAAATCGAGCTGGCTCGTGGGTGTCATCGGTGATTTTTCGCCGCTGACCGAGAATGTTCGAGAGAATGACCGTGGAGACAAGTGGGTGAGGTGGTTGGCGTAATCGTGAGTTGGACGATACTGTCGCCTCGGCGATAAGGAAGAGAGAGACAAGGCCAGCCCCTGTCGATGGGGGAGCCCACGAGCCTTACCACAGGAAAGCTCGGGGGCGACGAGAGACTTCCGTCATTGTATGGAGCTCTGGTGGGGAACATGTTGAGGGCGGACGTGGATTGCACAAGCCGCCGCCACTGTTGATTATTCCCTTCTTTTGCGGGTTCTGTCTTCCGAGCCTTTCTGCTGCTCCGGCATGTAAGTTTCTGCGCATGATCCAGCGGGGACACAGTGACAAGTGTGTAGACAGGTAGTTGAAGACATGCTCATTAGCCCATGGGCATGAAACGTAGGTGACAGCCAATTCAGAGGTTGCGACTGGTGAATCGCCTTAATCAGATCCCTATGTTCACGGCTTCTTTGTTTTCGTACGCTCTGGTCCGAGAACTGGCCGTTGCCTATAGTCGCCCGAAAGGCGGTAAAGGGCTGTTGATGATATAGATGTGCTCATCAGCAGTGTGATGGGCGGCTGCAGGTACAAAGTTACAGCCGGGAGTACGGTGAGACAGAACATTGAGGGAACGTGAGAGTCCAAGGACCGAAGTCTTACGGCGCTCGACGAGGCTCGAAACGTCTTTCGATTGCGTTGTAACTCGCCTGGGAGCCGAGCGCCGACAGTGATGTATAAGACTTTGCCAGCGTCATGGGGATCTGGGGACAGTACGGTAGCAGAATAAGAAGCGATTCTCGGTCTGGGAATGATGATCGAGACGACATGGTTGATGCGAAGTGTGTAGGTACTCCGTATATGCCTGGTGCGTCTTCTGAGAGAATGGCAGGTCTTCATTTCAGCCCTGGAGACACACATTGATGATTGGAGTCGTGGGATCTGGAGGTACAGTGTGGAGCTGATTTCCTACTGGGGAATGGTCAACACCAGCCGCCCATCCGCCCCGCCCCAGCGGCGGCCACATGGCAGGGGCTGCCCCCTGCTTCCGCCAATGAACGGGCCGCCATATTGAAAAGCGTTGGGGAAGTTGTTGGGAGCCGGGACATTTTTTCGGACCACATCTCGTTCGTGCTTGCCAGCCCAGTGATCCATTGCAGATTGACAACCTCATGGCGAACAAACCCCAGAGCGTGCGGAACAGGCAGGGTGTCGTAAAAAGCCAACGGAAAGTGTGACCTGATCTGGGGCCCTTCATCGTCCTATCCTCGGCTGTGCGGAGTGTTCCAATGCGTTGGCAGGCTCCGGATTTGCTTCTGATTATCATCTGTCGGACTGTTCATGGCATGTTCTTCCTGTTCGCGTCGATATTTGATGACATTGGATCGGTTTTTGTTGGTCCACTTTCCGTGTTGAAGGGTTCTTCTACGGGATCTGGATAGGAGTTGAAATCTCTCCACAAGCTTCCAATTCTCAATCCCAACGAAGAGAGGTACGTACGTCTTTTGATGGATGACGATGTTCTGCAAGTGGGCGTGAGGTTAGGATGTATGTTGTTGGATGCTCGAAAGTCAGGCCAGAGGCGGACGGGCGGAAGAATTGCATGAATTGAAGTATCCAAGTCTCAAGGTCTCTCAATCACAAGGTATTCGTAACGCACACCGATCATTCATCGCTTACAACTTGCAGAGGGAGTGTGACTGGGTGGTTCGTATGCCGATTTGGTAATCATTGGGTGTAGCTGCTACCCAAAGTCAGGGAAACTACCTGCTTATACATAGCTGTTTTCTGTGATTGATGTAAGGCAAGGAGAAGGTCACTTCCTGTTCTGGTCGGTTTGCAACGCACACTCATTGAGGCATCTGCAAGGGGGACATGGACTTGCCCAATCCCCAGGTTGGAAGCGAGGTACCTTTCACACCTTCCGGCTTGTGGCAGGAAGGAGGCACTGGAGGAAAGTACATTTCTCTTCAGGTCGTTCCTGCCCTGCCTGCCAACCTGTTTTTTTCACCTCGTCGAGAAGCGCAGCATGGTACTCCTCCGTCCATACCTTACGTATCTTCTCCGTAAGGTCGCCTGAAGAGAATGGAAGGAATGGAAAGTACTGATGAGAACCTTTAGTATTCCCGCCATTCGGATACACGCGTCGTCCAGTACCTCTCGGGAAGGAGGCAGGACAACGAATCCTGAGTGCGGGTCTCGCGAGGAAGCTTCTTCTTCCCCCTTCCCATCTGCCCATTTTCCGCCTGCAAATCCCGGGCCCAGATCGAGAGGGTCCCGCCCTTTCCTCCCATACAGCGGCGTGCGGCGTGCCAGCAAAGACAAGAAGAAGAAAAGTAAAGTCAAGTCTAACCCCACGGCCCACGAAACCCATCTGCCTTTGCATTTTTTCGGCTGATTGTGACTTGACCTGGGTCTAAACTAACTGATCTGATTCACTGACCCCCCCCCCCCTCCTCCCCACCTCCATCCCACCCTTTCCACTCTCTCGTTTGCTGGGATTTTGAACCTGGTGGGTGGCGGACACCTCGCCCAAAGGTACCCCGGCCTCCGTACCTGTTCCCTCCTTACTGGGCCCTTTTCAACCTATCCTTTTCCCTTTATATAATTCATTGCTCTTCACCCACCCCTTCCACTTTGCTATTTCTCCTCCAGACCTCTTTTTCCCTCGAGAGTCCCTTGCCCATTTGGCCTTTTGATCAGCAAGTCTGGTTGTAAACGTTGCTTCTACACCAAGCATCGTTTGGAGTTGTCTACCAACAGACACCTCGGATTACTCGTTTTCCGACTACAACCTCCGATTCTCAGATTCGCAGCCTGTTGGCTCCGTTCTTCAACATGTCGGCGACGACTTCATCTTCCGACGCCAAGGTCACCAAGGCCGAGAAAATTCCCGATGGAACCTCCGACTACGTTCCCACCCGTGCTCGGGCCTACGATATCAAGAAGCCTCACATGTACGTTTGGCTCCCAACATGACAATCTTTCATGGTAACTAACATAGGAATAGCTCTACCCAGCCTATCACTGCGAGCAACTGGTACAAGCACGTCAATTGGCTGAACACGACCTTCATTCTGATTGTCCCCTTGATTGGATTCATCTGCTCCTACTGGATTCCTCTTACATGGAAGACCGCTGTCTTCGCGGTTGTCTACTACTTCAACACCGGCCTCGGCATCACCGCTGGCTACCATCGTCTTTGGGCTCATCGTTCCTACAAGGCCAGCCTTCCTCTCAGAATCTACCTCGCCGCCGTCGGCGCCGGTGCCGTTGAGGGCTCCATCCGATGGTGGTCTCACGGACACCGTGCTCACCACCGATACACCGACACCGACAAGGACCCGTACTCCGTTCGCAAGGGCCTTCTGTACAGCCACATTGGCTGGATGGTCATGAAGCAGGACCCCAAGCGTATGGGCCGTACCGATATCTCCGATCTCAACGAGGACCCCGTCGTTATGTGGCAGCACGTTCACTTCATCAAGTGCATCCTCGTCATGGGTGTCATCTTCCCCACGGTCTTCTGCGGCCTCGGCTGGGGTGACTGGCTCGGCGGCTACGTCTACGGTGGCATTCTTCGCATCTTCGTCGTTCAGCAGGCTACTTTCTGCGTCAACTCTTTGGCCCACTGGCTCGGTGACCAGCCCTTCGACGACCGCAACTCACCTCGTGATCACGTCATCACTGCCCTTGTCACCCTCGGTGAGGGATACCACAACTTCCACCACGAGTTCCCCTCCGACTACCGCAACGCCATTCAGTGGTGGCAGTACGACCCCACTAAGTGGTGCATCTGGACTTGGAAGCAGCTTGGCCTCGCCACCGACCTCAAGCAATTCCGCCAGAACGAGATTGAGAAGGGTCGTGTCCAGCAGCTGCAGAAGAAGCTTGACCAGAAGCGCGCGAAGCTTGACTGGGGTGTTCCCTTGGAGCAGCTGCCTGTCATCGACTGGGACGATTTCAAGGCGCAGGCAAAGAACGGCAGAGGTCTTGTTGCCATCGCCGGTGTTATCCACGACGTGACCGACTTCATCCAGGAGCACCCCGGTGGCAAAGCCCTCATCTCTTCCGCCCTCGGCAAGGACGCTACTGCTATCTTCAATGGTGGTGTCTACCTCCACTCGAACGCCGCCCACAACTTGCTCTCTACCATGCGTGTTGGTGTCCTTCGTGGTGGTTGCGAGGTTGAGATCTGGAAGCGTGCCCAGTACGAGAACAAGGACATGACTACCGTCACCGACTCAAGTGGCGAGCGCATTGTTCGTGCGGGAGATCAGCTCACTCGTGTTGCTGTCCCCGTTGCCAGCGCTGATGCTGCATGAAAGAGATGACGGATAGGACAGTTTAATGACTTTGGGAAGCTTGTTTGAAACAAACAAATCGAGGCGGAAAGTGGGAGCGCTTGACTTTCACTTCAACAAATTGGTGGAAACGGACTGGTCCTATGGGGGTTGCTCCGTTGAAACCATCGTCATCACGGTATAGCCAAGCCGTTCAAGATAAGACGCCTTTGACACTTCAGCTTCGACTGAAGGTGAGAGCGATTGCCAACCTCACACTTATGGGACATTTTTAGGCGTTTGCGGGGTTAGGCATTGCAGAGGGCGTTCACTATAACAGTTATGAGAAACTGTTTAGACTAGAAAATGGGAAATCCCATCGTAAGGGCGAGAATGACAATAACAACCTTCACTTCAAGAAAACTTGTACATGCCACCACCTGTGATCACCTTGACATTTCAGGCCAGAGACTCGGTTCTGATCAGCAACTTCGATATGCCACCGCCCGACTACTTGAAACTCATCCATAAGGAACTTGAAGGCTCTCGACTATGACGCCGCCACGACTGCCAAAGGCTCAACTCCACCCACGGGGTTTCTCCCCACGTTTGAAGAGACTCCTCATCAGTATTTCGGTGTCTACACTAGGTGATACTAGATAACGTCCCACGCTTCATGCACCAGAGCCGCAATCACATGCTTTTCCACGTTCGTTTTCTTGCCCCCCGTACTTTTCCAATATGTACCGAGCCGTCTGACGAGAGATGCCCCACACAGCCTGGCGCTTGGAGGATAAGGTAGTACGAAGTACGGAGAGAGGAGGCACTCAACAACAGTTTTTTCCCAGCCCCAGGTTGGGGCGGAGACCCGGACGAACGGGGCGCGGCACGCCGCGGGACGGCGCTCTCTCTCTCTCAATGCCCAATGCCAGCAATGCTTACCGTGTCTCACCCCGGGGCGACTAGTTGAAAACCGCAAAGTGACACCCAGTACTACAACCTTGCTTTCCCCCCCTCAACAAAAATAAAGATTCCTTGAGTTTCGGGATTCGACTGAACTACCGACCGACGCTGCCAAACCACGGGAAAACCCAAACCACCTACATGAACAGAACTCCACAAAATAGAGAATGTTCATTTCATGCGGGTCATTTCGTTACCGGCGTAGTAAGCTTCAGGGCTTGCCCACCCCAAAACCCAGGCCAGACGAGGTACCTTACATGCCCACCAACAAGATGATGAACAGGCGAAACAAACATATGATGTTTATAATTCACTCGCCGTAGCTTGGATGTTCACCTCGGGTGGAGGGGAAGGGGGGGCCTATTCAACAATGACATGCTTAGAAACAGGGATGGCCCTACGACACGCCGCCTCCTTCTCACGACCCCCCTTCTATATACATCCGCGCCACGTTGTACTATCGCGTTGACGCCCATGTAAAGACTGACATGGCTTCTCAACAGCTACCTTGGGATACAACATGGAATTAGAATTCTACGCCTAGGGTCCTCGGGCAAATGACACGTGAAAGTACCCTAGGTCCACGAGGCATCATGACCCCCCCATGCTCCAGAGTCTCTGTTGCCAAAATTTGTACCATTCATTTATCCTCGACTATTCGAAGGACGTTCGTTGCCTTCCGCAAGAGCAAAGATGCCTACGTAGGTCTAATGCAATTCTAGTGACACACAACATTGACATAACCATGACCAAACCATGGGAAGAAACAATTCGAAGTTTGCCTCACAACTCCTCCCTCTCAAAACGACCCTGTTCCCGTTGCCCTCACCATCGAGTCAAAAAGACCTTGAAGCAGTGGTATCGATCGCATTGTCACGCCGTTAAACGCGTGAAAGGTGAGATTGCCTCCCTCCCTCCCCGCCCAGACACCGAAACTGCAGCCACCGAATAAGATTGTCGTGAGCTCATTCGTAGGCAGCCGTAGAAAAAGAAAGAAAAAAAGAAAACCGTTGAAGCCTTGGCCTCGCCCCACTCCATTGCTGGATTCCTGCTTCCCTATACTCCCAAACGCCACGATAATATGCTTGCGAAAGCCGAAAGTTTCACACTGCCGATTTGATGGAGAATTATTTGAAGAGACTTCGCAAATCCAGCAGTCTCTGCCGGGCCGCTTCGCTCTTGTCGAAAACTCTCTCCTTCCTGTCCATGCTGAGGGTAGCCAACTTGTTCTTCTTCTCCTGCAGTTCAAGCATCTTCTCCTCGAAACTGTTTCTCATGATGTAGCGAACTGTTCGGACCGGTCGCTTCTGGCCGAGACGGTGAACACGGTCAATGGCCTGGGCCTCGGCCGCGGGGTTATACTGAGGCTCCATAACATAGACGCTGCTACCTGCTGTCAGGTTCAGGCCGAGACCACCAGCAGTGATCGATACTAGGATCACGTGAACAGAGTGGTCTTCCCGGAAACTGTCCATTGCCTGAGTTCGAGCGATACGGGTCATGCTGCCATCCAGTCTGACGTACGTCACACCGACATTGTCAAGAGCCATTTGGATCAAGTCAAGGTGAGAGGTCCACGTGGAAAACACCACTGATTTGTACGGCGGCTCATCGGGGTTCGCATCGCTGTCAGCCTTTGACTTGAGCAGATCCTCGACCAGTGCCCTCGTCTTCGTGTGCGGGCCTGTATACTTTCCAAAGCTCTTGCGGCCGTTCGTTGTAGCCTTCTCCTTGGCAGGACCCTCGTGCTCCACCTTGAGTCGAGATCGACGAATGTCAACGTAGGCAGGCTTGATCACGGCGGAACAGATGGGGCAAGGTCCCATGGCCTGGCCGGGAGGGAGCAGTCGTCTAGCCTGTTCCTTGACACCCTTGATGCAGGAACCGCAGATGATGTGGAAGCAGGGCGTCATGTAACCGAGAATGTCTTCCTGTCCCTCAGACTCGATGCTAGCGTCGTCGTTGGATCCTAGTTTCTTCGAGCAGGCGCTGCAAGCATCCGAGTTCGTCTCCTGCATGAGCTCAAACATCTCGTATGCTTTCCGATCCGACAAGCCGGGCTTCTTGTCCTCGTCTTCGCTGTCAAGGTCAATAGCCATGTCAGCTGTCATGCCCTGCAAAGCCTCTAAATCTTCCTGATTCAAGAGGTCCTTGCCGTGTGCACAGAGGAGTCGAAGTCGGAGAATGGATCGAAGAATGTGGATGTAGGTGTGACCGCCCAGTGCTTTCTGTACGCCGTTGCCAGCAAGCACCTTGACGCGATCTTGAGCATTCTTCTCGAAGAGATTGTAAACCTCGCGCTCCTCGTCTGTGAAGTCGAGCTTGACAATGTGGTCGCTTCGGGGCGGAAGGTTGATCTTGTCCTTCAACCGGCGGAGTGTGACACTGTCAACAAGCACGCGGAGTTTCGGAACAATCTCCGTGTCACAAGCCTTGAAGGGGTCCACGATGAAACGGTTGAACTTGTTGCGGTCGTCAAATGGCTTCAACCGGACAAACTGAAGGAGAGCGGCCAAGTCCTCGAGTCGGTTCTGGACGGGCGTGCCAGTCACAGCCCAGCGACGGGCGGCCTGAAGACGAACAATGGCCTTGAACTGCAGAGTCGCGACTTCGCGAATCATGTGTGCCTCGTCCAGCACGATTCGGAACCAACCGATCTCCTCCAGGGGATACTTGCCAGACTTTCGCTTGCTGCGAGCGCCTAGCTCACTAGAGACAGAGCCATAGGTGGTAATGACCAAATCAAAGTCGGCCAACTTCTCGACATCTTTGATTCTATTCGAACCGTGATAGATATAGTAGCTGATCTCCCCCGGCGCAATGTGCTGCTTGATCTGCTCTTCCCAGTTCGTGACCGTACTCAAGGGACACACGAGCAACGTAGCCCTGGCATTCTTTGCGATGCCTGTTAGGGGCAGGGAGCTCGAAGCCGTTGCCTTCCCCCCAGCTTTCTGGGGTGGCATCTCGGGCTGAACTGGAGTGCGACCTGCCCATTCCTTGGCCTCATCCAACGAGCTGGCAATGAGGGAGAGGATGCTGAGGGTCTTTCCCAAGCCCATCATATCGGCGAGCAAACCGCCGTGGGTGTCTGCGGGGAGAGTCCGCTCTTGGTGGCCGGTGATGACGTTGTAGTAGAACTTCTGTCCATTGGGCCCGATTTTGAGCTGCCACATGGATCCCTTCACTCGTTCTTCGGCCGTCGATTCCTTTTCTCTCGCGGTCATGAAGTAGAGGCCTTGTTTCTGATGCTTCAGTAACTCTGTGGTGACGATAGGAGCTGGGTCCATTTCAGGAAGCTCATCAGTCTTTCCCATAGAGTCGAAGACGCCCATCACGTCTGATCTGATCTCTTCGACGGTGCGCGGGGTGGGGTTGGTGTAATAGGTAGACGAAGAGTGATTGTTGTACTGGGCGAGAGCTCCGGCCAGGTTTCTGGCACCAGGCGCTGGGTTAGGCTTGTTGTCCGTATGAACATTCTCATATCTGACGCCTTTGTCAACTCTATTGGGATGGCGCAGAACGATCTTGGCTCTCTCAAAGTGCTTGCCCACGGCCTTGACGAATCTGTACTGGCCGTACAGGGTCATTTCCACGGGATAGGATCTCGATATCGCCTGGCCCGGCTGCTCATCCGCTTGCTTTCTACGCGCAGGGATCTTGCAATCGGCCCGGAGGCGCACGTTGGAGTCCAGCAGGGGGACGAGAGCATTGGCTGTATTGGCGTCCACATTTCCAATGATATCGCGCGTGTAGTCGTATGCCTGGATCTTTTTGGTCGAATCTCCGATGATTCGCTTCAGAACGATCTTAACGGGTGGCATGAAGTCGGCTCCGAAGATGCTCTGCGTGCCCGGTTTGGCGGAAGGAACCTTGTGGCAGTCGAGGAAGCCGGTGAGCATGCCGTAGCAGACCTCTTCGGTTGCGGGGTCCTCCACCATGACCACATCGTCGCCCTCCTCAGTCAAGTCCACAGTCTGGGTAGAAACCTTGGAATTCTCCTTCTTGCCTTCGTCTTGTTTTTCCTTCACATAGGCGCCGAGCATTCCGCTACCGGCAGGTCCCATCTTCTTCTTGTTGCTGTCGGCGTCGGACTCGGGGTCGGGGGTATCGAATTTTCGGCGCTTCGGCAGGGGCGCCGCAGCGCGATCTTGAACATCGTTCATTCTCTCGATCATGTTGGCCATCCCGTATGGTGAAATGCCGCCGTCGTTCACGGGAGTTGAAGCGCCCGAGGTGAAGCTGGGTGTCAGAGACTCGCTCGTCGTGTCGTTGAGACTCGCGAATTGGAACACAACAGGGTTGTTGGTGGCGTTATGATTTCCCGGAGTAGATCGGTTCGCCAAGTGCTGAGGTTTGGGTGAATTGCGCCTCGAGGCAGCATTCGAAGCAGCGTAGGATCGAGGGTTCAGCAATGCTTGCGCATTCCACGACTGTGTTTGCGGCTGGGCGTTGATGTAATTTGCTCGGCCTTTTTGGAGGAAAGGTTGTAAGTATTTGGAAATCCCAAATTAATGGGCAGAAAGAGGTTGTGGTTGCGACAGAGGTTGGCAGAGGGAAAGAGCAGTCGACCTAGGGCTTGGAGGGGTAGGGAGCCGATCCATGGCGGGGCTCACTCACCATTTGACCCGTTTGGCGATGCCATGGCTGCGTCTCAATGCCAGCGTGTGTCTATTATTGTTGTTGTTGCTGCTGCCGTGAAGAAGGTGCTGTAGCTTGCACACGGAGGGTGGGCTTCAGTAGAGCAGTCTGAGAGGGGCGGTTGCGATCATCACAAACGAGAGCGAGAGATGTGGAGTAGCTGTTTGATATGGGCGTGACAATGAACAGTGGTATTGTAGATAAGTCGACCCCAAATCCAGGAAATATGTGAAAGAAGTGGCAGAAGCAGCCAGCAATGCTTGGAATAACGAGTGTCGCTCAAGGGCATAAATTGAAGGCAGCGACGATGCAGATGGTGAGAGGAGAGGTGGTGGTGAGGAAGGCGCAAGGCTATATCGTGTCTGAGATGAGTTGGTCCGGGGGAGGGTTGATGAGAGGGTGATGTTAGAAGAGTCACTCCCGCAATGGTGAGTCGTCGAGTGAGTGAGTGAGTCGAGTCCACCTGAGGTGATACGAGGTGAGGTACTTTGGGCAGGCTCAGCCAGGGTCCAGAAACACACAAGAGACGTAGGCGGAGAAGGTGGATGGCGCGAGAAATCGGGGGAGGAAGGAGGCCAAAGGTCGAGTCAAGTCCGACGCCTATTCACAAGTGTCGTTTGTTCCATATCATTGTTCTTGCCTCCTCATCAGAAATTCGTGTGGCGGTTGAAGAAAGTTCTTTGCAGGAGCGGTGGCGCAAGGCGAAATGAAGAAAGCACTTCAGAACGAAGGGACCAATACAACACCCCGGGCGATGGATGGAAGCGCAGGCTGAAGGAGGGAAATAGAAAAGGAACCCCAGGTCGCGGTGAAGGTGGTGGTAGACTGTAGTAGTAGTGGTGGTGGTCGTAGAGGTAGGTAGGTAGTGTTAAAAAAAAAAAAAAAGTGAAGGTAGGCGCGGCACATGGAATGTGGTGCAGCAGTTGGCTGCAGCCTTCTTGCAGCTGAGGTCACTCCCACTGCTCCCTGAGTTCCCTCCGCCTCTTGCAGCGGGGCACCTGCAGTGGAGACCCCCGTTGATTCCCGATTTCCGATTAGCTACCTGGAAACTTCGCATCCTCACGTGGCCACCCTTTACCATCTGTGCACCCCACTTTCTACCATCTCGGCCCAAGCCTCTCCCACTCCCCTCTATCTACCTACTCCGTATACGGGCAGAGTAAGGCAGGGAGGTACCTCCTCTCTCTTACACTCAGAGGCAGCCTGTGAAAGGGTGCATGGTCACTTGACCAAACAACTTTTTTTTTTCTTTCTTGTCATTTGTGTGTATCATTATGGATGTTCCCAATCAGGCATATCCTGTTTACCAAACCTGCCTTACCCTGCCTTACCACAGTGTCGCCCGAATCTACCAGTGAGAAAACATTTTATTACACTCTCCTTCGTATTCATCAACACCACCTGAACAGTCCGCGTCACCGCCTCCCAATCCGAGACCCGGCTATTACTCCTACGTCAACCTCAATCTTTGAATCTTTTGGCGGTAGTGCCTCGAGTGCGCCCCAAGATAACACGTCCGGCCCATCTTTGACGTGGGGTCCCCTGCTCGCTGTTTTCAAGTGCTGCCCACCATCTTCAGTACAAGCCATTTTAGATCGCTCTCACCCCACTACCAGCCGGACAATGGGACATGATACTGGACTTCCACACCCATTCTTGCAATCTACCCAACCGGGTCGATTTCACCGTGACCCTGTATGCCTCGATGGTTGTCTTGTGTTGATCTGAGTTGTCCGAGACATTTCCTTCGTGGCAAGGTCTCATCGGCGTGCTCATAAACTCTCAACGACCAAACGACTAGCGCCAGGATTCCCGAGGAATATTGTTCAGTAGTCCATAACACATCGCAAAATTCCCATGTGAGCGGTTGCGTGATTGGCGTGTAAAAGAGATGTTGCCTGCTTCTCTTATTTAGTCCATTTTTGGGCTTCCTTTCATAGTTCTCCCCATGTTCGCATGCTCCCATATCAGCTGACCATCAGACTCCAACGGATTGATCCACCTTCTTGTGTGCCTGCTCAACAAGCAAGAGCCGAGGCAGCTGATCCTTGGGCTGGAAATTTTCCTTGGTTATGGTATGCGTTCGGCTCCGGCTCCGAGTCCTGTGTCGGCGGCGTCGGGGTGGGGCCTGCTGGCGGTCAGGCGACCTAGACCGAGAGGGGCTCTGGCTTCGTCGCCGCTCCAGCAGGACGACGCGGAGGAGTCGCTTCCTCATGGGAGACACATCCGTGCTCGGCATGCCGACGGCGGCGGCGGCGGTGGCGGTGGCTCGTGAAGAGGCTCTGGACGATACCGGCGTCGGCGAGGTTGATCGCCGACGGGGTCGGCCCCGGAGCGTGCTGGACCCGCCCGTGCCGCCGTAGTGAGTGGCCTCTAGGTCACATCTCGTGAGGCTGCGGTGCCTCTTGCGGCCGCGGAGAGGATCTGATTCGGGAGGAAAGGGGCTCGACGTTACCGAGCGAAGTTTGGCAATTGTTTCTAGTTGGGAGGTCATGTTCATTACCGAAATATTGATCACAGGTAAGCTGATGCAGACTAGTGTAATCGTTTTGATGTAGAAGTCACATATGAAAATGTAACCTGAGCTGCTGTGTAAGAAGAAACTGGGGGGGCAAATGGTGGAGCGGGTGGAAGACTTGATAAAGAATCCCCAATACTGCGGAAGGTAACTAAGCAAGAAGAGGAGAGCAAAGCACGAGGTGATCGGAAGATGTGCGCCGGGCGTAGCAGAGGATTCTGACCTGATCGGGATCTCCTCGCAACACACCGAGAGGCTTGACGTATGAAGATCATTCGGGTTAGACGGGTCGCTTTAATCGTCCAAACCCGCAAGCAAATGATGATAAGGATCTGTCAGTCTGCAAGGGGGGAGCAGGCTTGATCAATCACCAAAAACTTACACGACGCGGGGATCAAGAAAGCAGTTGGGACTGGATTGGTCGGGTCGTACAATCCTACCTGCGCAATGAAAACGGAACCTTGGCCCGGGACGATCATGTAAGAAGGCCACTCATCGAAAGGTCGGGTGATGAATCGAACCAATTCGCGGGGGAGGGGGAGGAGGAGGGGGAGGAGGAGGAGGAGGAGGAGGAGGAGAACCAACGTGCCGTGTGGGTGGGGCCCATGGGCTGCAACCCGAGAGTTTGGGGGGAAGTCTGGGGTGACAGCCGTGACATTTCATTCGACTGAGGAGCAGAACTACCAGTAGCTTGGCCACTTAGCTAGGAAAGGCCGATATGACTTTTGGGTGTGCAGTCGACGGCTTTTGTCCGTCCTGCCCGGCATGTCTGGTTGCCTGCAAAGCCGTTGTCAGATCGAAGATGGGGATTTGACGTTGTTGGTCAGAATGCCATCCATGGCTGGGTCGTTTGAGTAAATCCAGACTATTTAGTCTGCCAATCACGCCTGCTAGCTATTTTCTTGTCTTGCACAAGTTCCAACGACGAGCATCATCCATCCTAGGTTATTGTGACAAGTCGACACGAAGACGCCCAAAGCCGGCCGCCCGTGTCTCACTTTTAGAATGGCACCGCCGCTCTCAGACTGTTGTCTCCCCAGTTCATTGGCTTTGGTCAACGTTTGGCAAGTGTCCGGCCTGGAATCAGCTGACCCGGACGGGACCAACTCGCATTTGCTGACAGCAGTTGCAAATGAGATTGCAAGGTACGGTCGGGCAACTCTTGCCCGAATTCGCATGCAACGTCTGTAGGTCCTTGAAGCGTCTGAGCAGCTTCCTTAGTTACTTCTGCCAGCATCCCAATCAGAAGAGTACCTTAATGTTGCTTCATAGCAAAGTTGCCTTCATGAGGTGGTATTACCTAAACTTGGGTTGAGTCGGGTAAACACTGCACCCGTTCCGTGTACCCCAATCACTGGCCCAAGCACTAGCACGGGGAAGCTCGGAGGCAAGGGGCCGAATGCCCTGTGCTGAACCGCTACTTACCGCTATGGACGCCTAGAACTGGCTACCTCGGTGCACCTCAGGCAGTCTAGAACTCAAAGCAAGCAGTAAGGCAAGGTACCTTTTCAAAGGTACCAGGGTGACAGCAGCACCGGTTGCACCCCAATGACAGCATCGCGGTCCGCCGAAACCACGGATTCCTAACGACACATGCTCGACGACGCGACTCGCTGAGAAATTGCTCTGTGTCTACCACCATCACGAGCACCACTACAGCCCTACCATTCTACTTCCCTCTTTTGCTTTCATCGCCAACTTGCTGTCCTGTTGTCTCCCTGAGGCTACCTTTGTTTCTACAGTGCCATCTTTTTTTTTTTCTTTTCTTTTCTCCCTGCTGAGGGTTAGACTTCGTGGCTTCCTCCATCCTTAGGCCAAGATTCCGCATTCCCTTCGCTAGCACGATTATCGCATCCAAAACGGAGATACAGCCGACCCAGCAGCATTCAAGCCTTCTCGATCGCGAGTTTCATCGAATCTTCTGCATACCAACCCACATGGCTCTGACTTCCGGCCCTGCCTTTGTTCGATAATTACCTCGCCCTTTCCTCGCCGAGACGGCCCCTTCATCCCTGCCTCCAAGTCCACGATGCCTCGCTCTCGACCCCCGACGACGGGCTACGAGCGCCTCGCTCAAGCCGATGCCCTCTCCTCCGACTCCGAAGACGACGACCCTCTCACCCAGTCATATGCCTCCCTCCAGCCGGCCTCGGCCCCTCGCTTCACGCCCATCACGCAACCGCGGCCCCGTTCTGGCATGACAACCCCCAAACCTGTGATCGCCGGCCCTTCCAGACCTAAGAATCGCCGTCGCGGCGGCAGTAACTCTGGTGTCGACATAAAAGCCATCAACGCTCGACTAGAACGATGGGCCGATGAGATCGCCAGCCGGTTCAAGCGCACAAAGGGGCGCGGCAAGATTGGAGATGATGAACATCTAGAGATCCATCATTCAGTATTCCAAGCCCCCGAGGGTGTCCGACCCATTACCCCTGAAGGGCTGGCTGCGCCGCAAGATGTCATGTCCAAGTCGCAGTTCGAACAGATCGTGGGCAGCGTCAGGCAGGCCATCCTTCAAGGAACGCATCCTCGAATGATCGCACAGGGAAGCTCCGGCAGTTACTTTGCCCGGAATACGGAGGGCAAGGTCGTAGGTGTTTTCAAGCCCAAGGACGAGGAGCCGTACGCGGCCGGCAACCCCAAGTGGAACAAATGGATCCATCGGAACCTGTTCCCTTGTTGCTTCGGGCGAGCATGGTATGATAATGTACATTCCGCCCAGGAGGTCCATGGCTAATCGCATCGCAGTTTGATTCCCAACCTTTCGTATGTCAGCGAAGCGGCAGCATACACATTGGATTGCCAACTGCGCACCCACATGGTACCTTACACCGACGTCGTCTGGTTATCCTCAAAATCCTTCCACTACCCGTTCTGGGACCGCCGCAGCTTCTACAGAAAGCAAAAACCGCTTCCAGAAAAACCCGGAAGCTTCCAGGTCTTCCTGAAAGGTTTCAAAGACGCCAATGTGTTCCTGAGAGAACACCCATGGCCAGACCAGTACTGGTCAGGCTTCAGGACCAACGATCCACACCGCAAGCGTAGGAGAAGGTGGGCAGATAACTGTCGACCAAGCAGTGCGGCAGCGTTGGATGACATTGAGAGTGACGATGAAGGCAGCCGGGAACGACTACCACCAGGTCCTGACAACTTCGTGTGGACCGAATCCTTGAAACAGTCGTTCCGCGAAGAGCTCGAGAAGCTGGTCATTCTGGACTACATGATGCGCAACACTGATCGTGGTCTGGACAACTGGATGATCAAGGTGGACTGGAGCACACAGCAAGTGTCAATCGTGTCGGAGCCACTTCAAATGAACACGGAAACCGGTTCATCAGAGGAGAGCGGACCTCGCCCGGTGGACTTGAACCAGCGGCCAGCAGCAGAAAGCCGCTCCTCGTACCCCTACAGGACGCAACAGCCAATGAAGGCATCTAGTCCCAATCCAAGCACACAAGATCCTAAGATAACGATTGGTGCTATCGACAACTCACTCTCCTGGCCCTGGAAACATCCCGACGCATGGCGAAGGTATGTGCCTCCCCCGGAAACTCCACGTTTCCTCTGCAATTTGCTCCATGCAAACAACAATGCGTGTGGAAAGGAATGCTAATCGCTCATATCACACAGCTTCCCCTTTGGCTGGCTTTTCCTTCCCGTTGACCTGATTGGACGGCCGTTCTCGCAGAAGACGCGAGATCATTTCCTCCCCCTCCTGACCTCAACGCACTGGTGGAGCCAGACACAACTGGCGTTACGGAAAGTCTTCCAACTGGATCCCGACTTTCAGGAAAAGATGTTTGCTCGGCAGATCGCGGTCATGAAGGGTCAAGCATGGAACGTGGTAGAGACGCTCAAGACGCCGGATCACGGTCCTCTAGAGCTCACGCGGCGCGCCAAGGTCTGCGTTTGGGACGATCTCGTCGACGTGCCAGTTGCAGTGCCCATGCGGGTAACGTCCGCCGAGATGATGCGCGACGCAGAGCTCCGACGCTCCATTGACGAGGGCGACATTGGCCAGGCCAATACGTCTGCTGCACCTACCCACCGCGTGGACGAGGACCTGCTCGGCTTCGCTAGCCCCCCGGCCGACATGCCTCATCCGGGCAGGTTTGAGCTTGCCCTAAGCCCGACAGGTGAGGGAGCCCAGTCACCCGACGAGGCGTCCATGAGCAGTTCGGGGATACTGGCTTCATCTGCACCGCTGGGCAGTAAGGACGCGGCGATGCAACGGCCCAGGTTCTCGGGACAATCGCACCGAGAGAGCTATCATGGCACGCGCGCCCTCAACATGTATTCTCCCGCTCGTCAGCAGTCTCAGCAGCAGCAGCAGCAGCAGCAGCAACGACGATACTCCTTCGCGACGGCGGCCGGACGGCGCAACAGTGGCAGCATCGCGCAGCACCTGTATGGCTCGCGCCGGAGCATGGAAGATTATGACGAAGAAGACGACGTCGAGGAGGGCGACCTGGGCTATGCGGCCGCCGAGGGCATGGAGGGCAACCAACGCAAGGTTATTATGGAGAGGCTGGAGCCGGTGAAAGCCAGGAACCCGGTTTTCACCTGCTGGTGATCCACTCCATCCACTCGGGGGGGGCCTGCATCGAGCAAAACATTACGGGGGAGGGCGGCGGCGGCGGCGGCGGCGGCACGGAGTTGAAGAGGAGTTGGAGCTGGGTTATCGGTTGGTGGGGTCCCTTTCTCTCTCTCTTGCTTCGCCTCGGTTGTCCCATGCAAGGGAAGGGGTCCCGGTGTGGAGAGGAGGGGGAGGAGGAGTCGAGGAAGCGATGTTTTCCCCCCCTCTTCTTACTCCTCCTTCTTTTTTTGTTTTATTCCCACTTGCTTGCTTTGGGGCGGTTATTACATTAACCACCGAGTACGAAATAGGGGAGCAGCCGGGGGGAGTTTGTTGGGTTCAATTTCGGATCGTGTGTCTAGAATAGTTGACGAACCCCCTCTTCTCCTCCCATTCCAACCCACCCTTCTGCGCGTCGGTACAGAAGAAGAAGAAGAGAAAAGAAATTATGATACACATGGCATTCGGTGGCGTTTCTCGTGCATTCGTCCCTTGACTTGGCGTGGCTGGGCCGTATGACGGTATGAGAGAAAGAGAGAGAGAGACAACAAGTTTGGGAACGAGACACGAAACTGAACGGCGTACAACAGCACAAGACATGATGAGGGAGGACACACACGATGACAACACGACACAGTCATCACACAACACGCGAGGGAGGAGACGTGGGTCCAACAGGCCGCAGAGTCAGACCCATGGAACAGCAAAGGGAAGAACAGGACTCTAGGGGAGCACACATCGTGAGAAAGAACAAGGGTCTGAAGGGGGGATAGGCGGCAGACGTGAGAAGAAGACGAAGGAAGAAGGAAAAGCAAAGAATAGGGGAGGCTAGCTATGGGCCGTGAAGTGAGGGGAGAGAGAGAGAGAAGGGGTGGGCAGCATAACCACAGCAGTTGTATCCGTACCTACATGGCTATCACCTTACTGTTGCATTTGTTGGTCAAATTTTTTTTTCCTTTTTGCGGGAGGTTGGAAAGAGAGGTAAGGGGAAAAAAATTTAGGGCGCATGCAAAAATGACCTTTATCGGCAACTAAAGAAAAAAAGGTCCCTTTTTTTCTAAGGTTTAATCAGGCAAGGATTTCCAACTTGGCCTTGTCACCTTAGACCTACATATCGGTACCCTTTTCGCGCGCCCATCCGGTTCAGGGGATGGGATGAGGGAGGGGGCTTATGCGCCAACCGGCATGTTCTCGTAATTCCAAACATGCTACCAGCAAGAAGGAGGGAGAAAGAAAGCAAAAATACAGAGAGGTCTTACCCATAGAGGAGAGCTCAAGTGTTAATAGCACGGCCAGAGGCTGCGAGACGCCTTGTAATGACACAGTTTTGCAGGACGAGGACGAAAAGAGACAATGCAATATGCCACTGGAATAGGAAGTGACTGCTCAGGTTGTTGCACAGCAGAAGGTCTAGTTGACTGCTGGGACGACGACGGTCCACTCTCGACGAGTTGCGAGTTGCGGCGCGGGCTATCTTTCTTGTCAAGGTTGGTCAAGGCCATTCAAGGCTTGCTAAAGGTAGGTATTCGAATCCTCTTAAGGTTGTCATCCATCGGTCATCAGTTGTGGTCCAAACTCGCGTTTCACGGAGAAAGGAAATGGCGGTAGCGGCGCGGCCGCTTCCCTTGGTCGTTGCTGGCCTGGAGGGCTGTACACACTACACAGTAAACAGTGAAGTATGTGTGTGTGCGAGAGTGCCAGGGTACCGCCCAGCCCGTGATCTGTGCGCGCAAGAATAATATTATAGGAGGGGTGGGCGTCGGTATTACATCCAAATTCCGCATCGTCGGTAGATGGCAGAAGAGATGAAAGAGGAAAAGTCGATTCATGTGCCCATGACCGCAGTAAAGCCGCAGTCGCAGCCGCAGCCGCAGCCGCACCTTTCATCTCCTCCCCTACGAATACCTGGTAAAGAGAACGCGGGAGGTAGGACTCGCCGGCTCATAGGACCGGCACCGCGCGCTCCATGCCTTTTCAGAAAGTCAGCTCGCAACACCATGGTCTTCTAGAAGCATTGTCCCCCACCCCGTTCTAGTGAAACGACAGAGACCTGGTCCTTGGATTTGTTCTCCGTAGAACCGGGGGCCATTGGTGGACGATTGGATCGTAGATGGCAGGTAACGCCGCTCGTCATCCAGGATTCAATAATAAGGGGGGGAGCTCAGCTGGGTATCTTTGTATCGCAGTGTCATGGTATTAGTCCGTAAGCTGTGCACCTGTGGTCCCGTCAGCAAGACAGGGGTCGTAGGGGGCCGGTTGGCATCGATAAGGGGGACGATTATGCCCCAGCATCCCGTCCTATTGGAACCCGAGAGTACGGTTCTGTTCGAGAGGAAAATGAAGACGGAGGAACCAGCAGGGTGCTTGCCGACTAGGGTTCCCTACTGGCGGGAATGAATGTGACTCCTCATCGACAGCCAACTCATCTCCCCCCTCTTTGCATGGGAAGAAGGAAAGTCGTTGGACGAGAGAAGGAGAAGCAGACCACAGGCCCAATTTCTCTCATATCGGGTAAAGCGAGTTGTGGAATACTGTTGTATGTACTAAGGTACGGATACGCAGATGCATGGTCCGCAGCCGTGCAGACGAGAGGCCACGGTCAACGGCCGCCAAGTCACGCTGCTTTCCATTTCCTCTCCGGACTCCTGCTTGTCCTCATCAGACTCGTCCAAGTCGAGTGGCTGGGAAGGATTATTACACACAGGAGCAACCTATAGAGAGATGGGTCGAATTCTCCCCTCTGACGTGCATCATCTCTGACAGGCTACTCTCTTGCCTGAATCCCCGATGCGAAGAAGTGTCTTGCGTCAGTCGATGAACAACAGCCACCTCTACTTGGGTAGCTGCTCGGTAACCGCATGCGCAGGGAAACCATTTCGTTCGAGTTGCCGAGTTATGGATCGCAGCCCTGCTCCGAACTCCATTCCGTGGCCACTTGCTAGGTAGGGCGGTGGCTACCCAGCAAGCCATATGCGTCAATTTGCCAACTGCTTGTCACGCAGCGTCCCGGCCGTCACGATATATTGGGAGCCGCCTTATAGCCGGTCTTGCTTGTTGCAATGACATCGTCTGCCACATTCGGGGTCGCCTCCGGACCATCCGCACAACATACTCGGCAACGCCATATTCCCAAGCATGTATTTATCTGCAGCCTCTCGTACGGCTGCGGCCAAAGAGCTCAGGTAGGTCTGTATCAAGGCCGGACACATCTGTCGTACCGCTCGTCTTGACGTCAATGATGAATGGTCAGGGCCGCGTTGGGGTGGTGAGTTGCCTGGTGCCCAGCACAACCACAGTATGTCGTCGTCTCAAAGAGTCTCTCTCTCTTTGCTTTTTTACCCGTCCGCCATGCAATGCACTGAACCCGTTGGTGCAAGGGTTGCAGAGTGCAGCGAGTACGTGGCCGCTGTGGACAGGCATGGTGCTCCCAAGCACCAGGATGTGGTTTCCTCCGACAAGGAAGGGTTGTCGACCCTCGCTCCTCGGTTCCCAAATAGCTGGAACCAGGAGAGTTTTGTGGCTCGCGTCATCGCGCCCTCTCCCGAAACTCCACTGTCCGAGCCAGCGGCAACCTGGTCAGCCAGGCGAGGCTCTCCTCTGTGTTAGTTTCAAACCTGCAGAGCGGCCCGCCGAGGGGTTCGTTCGTTGAATTGGCCCAGCCAATTTCTTCTTCCAACCTTCATCAAAATCATCCCCGCTCAAGAAACATTGTTGGCTTGTCCTCCGTGAGCTCTACTTTCAAAAGTGCGACACGCCTGCCAAACAATTAGTCCAGGGTCAGAAGGGATGAGATGCTTGAGAAAAGTGACCGAGAAAGGGAGTGCCATAATCAAACCTTCATCAGCACGTACCCGAATACGCCAATGTGTCAAGAAGCGCAGCAACACAACCCACCAGCCAAAAGTCATGCCCCTACCTATATTTTGCAGACCGTCGCCTGTCCCGTGCATATTGTACCGCCATCCGACCGAATTATTACCATCATGGTCTCGGAGAGGTGGTGTGGTGGAGGCCTGAGGTCGCAGGAACCAGGCATGCGTGCTGAGCAGAGTAAAGATCGATGTTTCTGTCCGAGGCGCCCGTCTCCTCCCTCTGGCCGTTGTCGTGAGATACGGGCCTGGCGCGGGTCTCACTTTGCTGGCATCAGTGCACATGATTGTCTGCTTTGTGTGTGAGGATCAGACCATGAACTCCGCCTTTGGTCGCTGCCCGGCTGCATATGATCCTAGCCTGCTTAATGCCAGACAGGTAAAGCAGCATGACTGTATTTTCCGTCTTCTCGTCGTACGAGATGATTTGGCTCGGACGAGGTAGCAATCGCTTCGCAACTGCGTGTTCATGGCCTCCCTTCTTCTATTCGTTTTCGGGCCGTACAAGTCGCCAATGAGCCTAACGACACAGAGAAGGATCCAAGTCCGTGTTCTCGGGAAATCTCAGCAAGTGATGACCACGGGTTATCGCGAGAGACAGCAGAAGTGCCGCCAACGTAATCCCTAGTTCGACTCTGTATCCTATCGGGAGTTGTGCAACGCTGCTCTAGCTCGACTTCCCACCACCCGTAGCTGCTGTGTCTTCAGGTTCAAGCCAACGACCGGTTCCTTGGGACATGGGAACCGTCGGAATTTGATTATAGCCCCGCGTGCGATGGGAGCGGATCGGCCATGTAACCCCTCCTTTGAGCAATGCTCCTTTTCATGGCGAGGTAGGGGGGAGGGGGTGATCAGGAAACAAGGGATGGAGAGCCGTGTTTGCTGAAGAGCTTCCCATTGCCTGGGCACTGGCTGGAGGGTTACAGCAGGAATTCGTGTGTTGGGCCCAGTACTCGGGCCATGCAGTTGGTCTCAAGACAACATCCACCACTAGGCTTTGTCGTGGGTGTGGGTGCTCTGATTGTAGCAGCAAGCATCGGTATGTTCGCCCGACTCCGGGGTGGCGGCGGTGAGCCGCTCAAAGAAGCTCAAAAAGCTCATCGCCCTGGGTAAACAGAGAAGCCACATCCAACCCTTTCGCAGCCTTGTGGGATGTTGGTCTGTGATGGTGCGTCCCGCTAGACAACGACCAGGCCGTTCAGGAAGACAGCCGTCTACCTGGCTTCCGGAACAGCCTCTGAAGGTAGGCTACGGTTAACGGGATCCATGGATCTGGCAACTGGTAAAAGCGGTGTCCAAGTTGCCAGGATGGGCTGGGACCCGCTGCTACACCCGCCCTATGCCACTCACTGGCCTGGGATTAGCACGTCTTGGTTGTCTGCCGGCTCCATTCTCGAATTTTCGTGTGTACAGGGGGGGTCCGGGGCCAGCAATAACAGCAGAGGACATATCCATGTCACCCGAAGACTGCCTCGTTCGCACCGCACCGCGTACCAAAGAGTACCGAACAGGCTCCCAACTTTTCTAGTGTAGGTCGTGGTGTACCAACCCAAGATCGACAGCGACGTCGTGGGGTGTAGAAAACAATGGCCGGCCAATGTCGAGTACGCTTCGACTTGACCGTTGTCTCCACCTCCGACGTAGTAGGCAGTTTAATTTTATGTCTATTAGACACGACTGCCGCCTTCGTGAATACCCCTGTGATCCGGATATGGCTCCTTTGACGGACTTTCGGGTTTCGTCTGTGGGCAGTGCTTGAGAACTAGTCCTTGTCTTCCGTCCCGTCCTGGAAACCTAGGAACAGTGCCTCGCTGGAGCAACGTAACCACCACATACAGGCTCTTGTTCATCCCAATATCGAATCCCAAGGCAGACTTTGGACGAAAGACACTCATCCTAATCGAACTTGTCCGTAAGAAGAATCATTCGATTGTGGTTGTCGATATGGCAAGGTATTGCAGGAACTCTTCTCCTCTCGCGAAGGATTCCTCTGATCGCTAAACCGCTGCCAGTGATCCACAGACAGTTCCCTTGGATAACGCCTTCCTGGAAACCATCGCGTATCAAGGTAGAGAATACCAACGATACGCAGTTGACAATGGAGCATACTTCGCGCCGATAGACGAGGTAGGAGACATGTCGCCCCTGAAGACACCTTGCCTTGCTGAGTGTCTTTTTCAAACCGACTGTAGGACGAAGTTGAACGCTTGCAAATGATGCATGTCGTACTCTCCATAGTATTCGAAAATCGCCTCCTTTTCCCACCCATCAACAGACCCCGGCGAATTCTTGAGTGCGGCTTCGGAGCCGGCGACTGGGCTATCGACGTTGCACAGCAACACCAGAACTGCGAGGTATGTGTTGGACGTTCCCAAGTCCTTTCCCTCCCGCGGCTGTACGATAATCGGGATCCATCCCTTTGACGCGTTTTGTCGGTGGTGCTGGGATGACCAAGCCCGCAAGCCGGCTTCGTCAACGCGTCATGCGGTCGTCTCCCTCTTCTGCCCTTGTTTACGTGTAGCATACTTGATGCTCTGTGGCCGAGCAGAAACTCCTTCTCTTTGCTGCATCGATACCATGATGATGAGTGGATGGAACGAACTCGTCGTCTCGCCGTTCCGGTTGCCGTAGCGTTAGCAGTGCTGATTTTGTCCGATAGGTAGTAGCCATCGATATCTGCCCGCACACCTGGCCCGACGAAAGCCAGACGCCGACGAACCTGAATCTGCAGGTCGATGACCTGAACAGCAGGTACGTTCTCCGGCGAGTTTCGGCCGGAGACTGAAGTTCCCCTGGCTCAACTGACTTGGCCTAGATTCACCTTTCCATCGAACCATTTCGACCTTGTACATAGCCAGATGATGGCAGGCGGCATCCACTCAAACCGATGGCGAGATTATCTTCGAGACATTCATCGCGTACTTCGACCAGGCGGCTGGTGTCAAATGGTGGAGATATACTTTAATGCGCAGTCAGACAACGGAACGTTGACTCAAAGTAGGTCGTATCTCCCCAAGACGCTGAACCCTCCATTGATGGCTTGCTTCGTCAGATCACGCCCTTCGTAGGTGGTCGAGACGATATTTGGATAGCATGCAACCATACAAGGATCCCAGGGCGCCGATGCAGATGCAAAGTTGGATGCAAAGTGCTGGGTTCGACTCGGTGGAAACCCAAATGATCCCTCTCCCGACTTGCGGCTGGTCGAATGGTATTCAAACCTCAAAACCTGAATGCAGGCATTTTGACCTGATTTTTGATTAGACCCGAGGCAGCACCAAATTGGCGTGGCTAACAGAGAAAACGTGAGGAGGATGCTTTCGTCTCTGGCGATGTATCCCATGACAGAGTTCCGAGGGTAAGGGAGACTTCCTTTTCCCGTTCTTTGCAGTCCGTAACGCCAAGTCCGGATCAATCTCAACTGACTGTGGCACTGTAGGATGACATCCCAAGAGTTCCAAGTCTTGGTGGCTCAAGCAAGGAGCGAGGCCGATAACCCGGCGTTCAGGGTGAGCTCCCATTCACCCACAAAGTGCGTCTTCTCTGTGGAAATGTCTGCTAACATCAAGGTTCGGCTCAGGCGTATTTTCCAATGTAAGTGGCTGCCCACTCATCCAGCCGCCCAAGTCCTTAGTAATACTGACGTTTCTGGGCATCAAGGTACGTTTGTATAGGACGAAAGCCTCGTCGTTGAGACGAGTAGAGAAGGCCATATAACGATGCTGCTTTCTAGAGCGATTGATGTGTGGCGGCGTAGAGCGTTGTTTCCCAGCGAGGATTTGGTGGGCATTTTGGACAAGAATTACGATAATGACGATGTGACGGCAGCAAATACCCCGTGTCTAGCTCGCAATCCTATTTGATTAATTCTCTGTTGCAGTGTTTGTTTGCTGTATTTTTCTTCGGCGGTGGTTGTCAAGGATTGTTTGACGGGATTGTGAGAGTACAGATGAAGTTGCCTTGTCCATACGCACGTCTTTGTTGGATCTCGAAAGGCAATCGTCGACAATGTGGGATCAGACTAGTGGTGTACGAAACGAGACGCAAGGCTTTTGTCTCTTCGGAGGAACCAATTGTCGATGACTAGACGACAACACAAATAAGGCGGGAAGAACGAAAATAAGTGATGTTGATCAGCGAGGATGTAGCTGGTTTCGTCTCGGGATGAATGGCACTTCATACAAGTCAGACGTGGAAGAGTACTTGCCTTGAGCAAACAAGGTCTGAGTGTTGAAAGCAAAAGGGATGGACTTGTAGTTGAAAGAGAGTGAGGCGCATGTGGAGAGCGGCGGAAGCTAAGGCAAGTGCCTCATTCGTGGTGGCGGGAAAGAAGAGATGGGAAAGACGATGGCGGCTGCCCATGTCCATGTTTAGGAAGGTACCTACTTACTTTACGAGGTCGGCAAGGTAAGTAAGTACTTTACATTGTGTACTTGACGGGCGTGAACATATGGTCAGGTAAGGCCAGGATGGCGAGGAACCTCCCCGCGTTGATGGATTCGGAATGGGACGTCTTGGAGGTGGAAGAGGCGAACGGGAACTTGGAAGGCTCAAAGAGGGAGGCAAGAAGACTATCCGTACGAGTCCTTGTTCGGCGGAATACTTCCCTACTTTATTACCCGCTGCTGCTATTTTATAAGTTCCATGTTGGGTTAGATTGGAGGGAGGCAAGACGCCAGGCCTTGCCCAGGAACGCAAGAGGTCTGCAATCTGCATGGTTTTTACTCGCTACCGTCTCCTCGGGTTCTCGGTGAGGACCGAGGTGGACTGCAGATGAACAACTCACGTCATATTGAGCCTGCACAATCTCTCTCTCTCTCTCTCTCTCTCTCTCCCTCTCTCTCTCTCACACACACACACCTACGGAGTACACGCAAGTTACAACACCACTACGGATATCGATACAGCTGGGCACATCGAACCCATGTCACAATGGAAGGGAATGGACTTTCGAGTCGCGTCTTGACTCTTGCGTCCTTGACAAAGAGGGAATCGGAATCCACTTTCATCTGAAGATGAGATAATTTTCCTGGCGCCATGCCACATTTGCGGCCTCCGCACTCGCTGCCGCCTTCACAAGTTCCACGCCAGCGTCGACGCCGGCATCCACGCCAGTTCCCACGCCGGTGAGTACTCAGAGCCCTTGTGCCATCTAGGTTCCCCGGCTTCGGAAACTTCCTCCCTAGCATCATCAGGGGGCACGGGCATTTCGGCTGACGATTCCTTCTTGGCCGAGAAGATGGCAAGATGCTGGGGCAGAGACTAAAGTACACTATCCGTACTCCGTAAGGTACGTACGGAGTACGGATATCGGTACTGCCCCTGGAATGCCGCGATGCCAGGGACATCAACTGAAGCTGCCACGATGATGAAGCATGCAACGGTCAAAGTTTCTATGCATGTAAATCCGATGGACGCACAAACCCCCCCTTCAGCTTGGCTGGCAGATTGACCTCAGCCCGGCCGAATCGACATTGGTGGCAGCTGCTGGAACTTGCGAACCTGGCGCCCCCCGTGGATGTGATATCGGGAAGCTTTCGCGGATGCCCCGACCCTTGTTTCCTGCAGCTCCCCTGATCTTCGGCACATCAGGTGATTTGGGCCTCGGGATTTGCATAGGCTTCACATTACTTCACAAAACCTCCAACTGATCCGCGAGCTGTCACCAACACGGCCATCGACGAACCGCGTATCCCCTAGTTATGTGCGCCCCAATGGCTTGGAGCTTGGAAGTTGGAACACCCACGAGGTTTCCCTGAACGCATACATAAATGTGTGCGGCTGATTGTGTCATCCGAACCACCAGGCCTCCGTGTGGCATGTGCCTGTCAATCTGGCATCTGGAATCTTCAGCCAATATGACACCCTCAAAGACTCAAAGTGTAGAATGCGAGGGAACTACTGCCAATAGTGTGTCCAATATGTCAAACACTTTTATTCAACGGGCCCCCCGCCAATGCATCCTCACGGACGCTACTCCCAGACACTGGTGCCACTTCGCGCCACCTGTAGAGGAGAGGGTCCGGGGGATATTCCTGCTGCCGTGGACCTGGCCTGAACAGCCAACTACTGCTAGCCAATGAGAAGCTGTGCCGAACATTTATGCATTTGAGAGCTCCCAGCAATGGAACTTTTTTTCTGTACGACTGCAACTGAGAGGCAGACAAACTTGACGACATTGTACCGCTACCCAACTACCTGACTGTCTGAACGACCGACACAAAGACCAATCAATTGAGAAACATCCACTCATCTCCCTCCATCACCAAAGCTCAGGCACACGAAAGCCCCCTCCCTCTAGTCACAATGGCTTGCCGAAACTCGGTCCGTCTCTTCCAAGCCCTCCGGCCAATGGTGCCGGGCCGGGCCACCCCCCTCCGGACGACGATCCGCCTCTACTCCGATGCCACGCCGGTCACACCCAAGCTCCTAGCCACCCTCAAGACCGACCTCAAGACCGCCATGCGCGCAAAGGACGCGCCCCGCCTCTCCGTCCTTCGCTCCGTCCTCTCCGCCACCAACAATGCCGCCAAGACAGACAGCCCCATCGCGACCGACGCCCAGCTCGTCGCCCTCCTCCGCAAGACCCAGCGTGCCACCCAAGACGCCGCCACGCAGTTCCGCGCCGCCGGTCGCGACGACCTCGCCGACAAGGAGGACACCCAGGCCAAGGTTATGGCCGAGTACATTGCCAGCAGCGGCGTCGTCACCGTCACCGAGGCCGACGTCCGCGTCCTCATCCAAAAGGCCGTTGAGGATTCCGTCGCCGCGGGCAAGACTGGCCTCGGGGAGGTCATGAAGCTCATCAACAAGGCTACCCAGGACAAGGACCTCGAGGTGGAGAAGAAGCGCGTGGCCGAGCTCGTCAAGGAAGCCATCAAGAAGGATTGATGAGAAGGGAGAGAGAAGGTTTCGAGCTGTGTTTGCTGTAAAAAAAAAAAAGAAAAAAGAAACATGTACCAATCTGTACCAACAACGTCGTGTATAATAATACCTGTATACCCCCCCCCCCAAAAAATGAAATTCTGGCGGATGAAGAAGAATGGGCGAGCTGTGGAGAAGGGAACATCTCTTCTCTTGAATGATACTTGGACGAATGAAATAATGTCACACCACTCGTGGCCACGGCGCAAGATGTGAAAGTGAGCTTGGAAAACCGCACTCTGAGAGTCTGCATAATGTGTCAACAGATATATAGACTTGGGCACTGAAAAGGTGAAAAACACCCAGTCAATGGCATTGGTATCTGTCTAGTCAAAGTCTCGGGGAGCTCCATCCATTCGAATGAGCTGGCCTCCCCTCTCTCTCACTGTCTCTCTCGCACACACACCCCTTCAAGCTTTATGTAGGTAAATGCAGCTACTTGACACTCCATTGAATGCCGACCAAAACGCCCGCGAAGCCATGCGCCATGCCATGATTCTCTCTTTTTTTTTTTTGAAACATAAAGACGTCTTTTTAGGGGGGGAGGGGTATACGTCGTGATTTACGCAACACTATCGTCCTCGTTCCTCAACCCCGCATACTCAGTCCCCTGATTCGCCGTGCTCAACCTCGCGCAAAGACTCAACAAAACAACCGTCTCCGTCGCGGCGTAGTGGTTCAGCGCGTCGAGCAGGATCTGGAGGTGCCTGCTGAAATTGCCCTCCCACTTCTTCATTATCTCAAAGAGGTTACTCACGCGGGCCTCTTGCTCGGCGGCACTCACACCGCCGCCTGCCGATGAAGTTGAATCGTTGTGTGAGGTGCCCGCCGCTGGGCCTGACGAGGGCTTTTGCGTTCGAACGGCCTGGAAAGCGCGCCATTGGTCTGCCGTCATGTTGGGCGGGCGCGTGGCGCCGGATAGGTCCGGGTCGGCTTTTTCCAGCTCGCGGGAGAGCCAGTTGGAGTAGGTGGCAAAGACTGTGCAGGTTTGCATGAGTTTGGAGTGGATCTGTCCGAGGTTTGTAAGTAAGCTTGAAGACTGATTCACGCACGCGCGAGATTAAAGGGCTGCCAGTAAGAGAGAGAGAGCATACCCTGAGAAGCTTGCTGTTGGTGAGCATGCACTCCTTCAAGCACGTATCCAAGAAATCCACATGATCCTGCATCAACTCGTCCACGGTCCGCGTCGGCGTCGTGCCCCCCGGCGCCGCGGCCTCTTGGCCTTCCTCGCCAACTTTCAACCGGGACATGAACTTTGCCCAGTTGGGCTCAATGACCTCGGCCGTGCAAAAGTATAGCAGCTGCTGCACAAAGACGAGCATGCGCGCGCGCAGCGTCCACACGCGGCGCTTCCAGATCTCAAGGCCGCGCGAGGAGCTCTTGTGCGACCACGTCAGCCCCGAGGTCTGCGAGTACCACGTCGTCGAGAGCTGGGACTCGAGATAGCGCAGCGACAAGAGGTACCGGAATAGCGCCTGGTACCGCCACACGGTCTTGCGGCTGATGACAAGGGAGACGGGGAAGGGGACGGTGTAGTCCAACTGGAGGGACGTGAAGCCGATGGCGTTCTTGTCGTTCTCAATAGGCTGCTGGTTCGCGAGCGGCTGCAGCGTCTCGCCTTGCTCGATACCCGTGATGTTGACGACACGCTGCAGTGATTTGACGAGCGTGATCTCGTTCATCTCCACCTTGACGTCCTCCTTGAAAGGATCCAGCGAGACGACGCTGCCCGGCTGGCGCAGCACCAGGTCGAGCAGGGACTGCAGCTTGCCGGTGTTAACGGACTTGACAGGCTTCCGCAGCTCGGACGTGCCGAGCTCGAGGAAGTAGGAAAAGTAGTCGGACGGGTCCAGGAAGAAGTAGTGCTTCAGCGACCGCAGCCTCATGGGCAGCGAGTGCGTCGTGAGCAGCAGCTGCATGAGGGACTCGTTGGCGTGCGCGTACGCATTGTTGACGTTCTCCAGGAAGCGGCTGTCGTCAAACGACGTGGGGACGTCCTGGACGACCTTGCTCACGTCCACGCCGCCGCATTCCCTGACGACATTGAGGTACTTGCCCGCTAATAAGACCTTGTCCTTGACACCTTCTAATTGAGGGGGGATATCGTGCTCCCGGATCGTGTACCGTCGCTCCCAGTATTCGTCCGTGTAGTCCTGCTCCAGCCGTTCTCTCCGAATGCTCTTTTGCTCCTTGACCAGGAACTCGGCATGCGCGTCGTTGATACTGCCGTGGTGCAGCCACTCGTTGAGCATCACCATGTACGGCCTACTGGCGTCGCGCAGTAGCGACGTTAGCAACGCGCGTGCAGCCGGGTCTCCGGACATGGACTCGAGCCTCTTTGTAATGAGACCCAGCACGACGCCGCCTTTGCAAATCTTCTTCCCCGAGCCCGGGGCGAGGTCGCCACCCTCCCGCAGCGACTCGAGGATATTCTCAAAGTCGTCCGCGCTGTCGCTTTCTTCTTCGTCATCGTCGTCTAGGAGCGCATTCCTCTTGAGCAAGTCATGTGCTAGGGAGTATAGATGTGACATCATCTTGCTCGTCGGTAATGTGTGAATGTTCAAAACGTGGAGGGTAAAAGTCTCGTTGGTTAGGAACTGTGTCTCCAGCTGCGCAATCATGATGAGGTAGTCGTGTAAGAACTTCCTGATGGAGGCGCAAAGAGCGTGATTGACGGCGCCAAACTCGTCCCTACTCTGCACGTCGACGAACATCTCAAGGGCCGAGTAGTACGTCGCCATCTTCAGCATCGACAGCGTGAGGTCCTGCAGACTAGGGTCCAGGCCCGGCAGTATCCTGAACGTGGGCCCCGACAGCCGGTCCCTCTCCTCGTGCGGGTTGTACGTCTTTGCAAAGCGGATGTATTGTCCCTCGTAGCCCATGAAGACGAAGAGGAGATCCTCCAGCATCACTGCCTCTTGCGCCTCGAGAGACAACTCGTTCAGCGGTTTCGGTTGTTGAGGCTGCGGCGCCTGTGCTGCCAACGGCGGTATTGATATTCGACATGCCAGGGGAGCCGATGTGTGAGGTAGTAGCGTCGCCTCTGGGTTCCAGGGTGCTGCAATGCCGTTCAGTCAGACGTCGGACACTCTCTAACATCAACGGAACCACGCAGAACTCACCTTGCGGGGTGTCAACCTTGGCTTCCTTGGGCTTCGTCTCAGCCGTCCGCGACTTGGCCTCGCCGCTCTTCCCCTTGTCGCCTCCGCCTCTCACGGGGCTCCTCGTCCGCTGTGTCATGGTCTCGCGCTCCGTCACATACGTCCTCTCCGTCCGCCTCTCCTCCACACGTCTGTCGTCGTGCATCCTGCTCGTAGCCCTGGGGTTTCCCGACGCAGATCTCTTGTGCGCATTGCCCCCAGGTGAAGCCTCCCTCTCCCCTCTCTCGCGCTGCTGGTGGTGGTCTCGCTCTCGTTCCCTCTCTCGTTGTCGCGCATCGCTCCTCTCACTGCGCTCGCTCTTGAAGCTCGTCTGCCCGCTACCGGTGCCGGTGCCGGTGCCGCTCGCCGCTGCGCCTGCTGCGTTCATGCGCGCCGTTCGTGAGGGTCGGTCCTGGTCGACGCCGGCGGCTGAGCCGTTTGCGCGCCGCTCATGGGTTGAGACCCTGGTGGTGCCGGACGACATGTCACCGACTGCATCTGAATTGCGGAAGACTGGTGGTTGTTCCCTTGAAAAGGCTTCGACTCGGCCGCGGTAGAATGAGAGGGGAATTGGTGGTATTTCGGAGGAAAGTCGTTGCTTGGTTGTGTGTTGTGTGATCTTTGTCTCTCTGCCCCTCTAGCACGGAGTCGCAGTCTTACACTCCGCGTGTGGGTTAGGCTAGCTCACTGCGTAGGTACGGTACCTTAGGGTAGCTACTCAGGTACTCTAACGCGGTAAAGGGCCATTAATCTCAAGCGCGTCTAGTCGGAAAATCCTCGCATGTTGTTGACCCCGGTCCCGGATGTGGTGTACATCCCCTGGAATATTCCGGGTTTAGCGTTCGGGGTGACGGCAGGTGTTGGAGAGGGACCCGGGAGTGACCAAGATGACCAATCATAGAGCTTCCACTCAGAGAACAGGGGGGGGGCAGTAGGTAGGCGTGCCTGGGGCCCGGTCGCTGTCGGCTCCAATTGCTGCTGGGCCACACCCCCATGCCCCCCAAAGGGAACCTGGCACACTGGAAGCTTACCCAGGTGGTAAGGTGCGGCTGCGTATTCGTAGGCTAGGTGCTTGCCTAACCACGCCTGCCATCTCAGCCTTCCACCGTCACCGTTTGTTACCTGGACCTTCCTCCAAGCTCCCCCTCCATTCATCCACACCTCAATCCAAACCACCCAGCATCCACGCAATCACCGAACCACGACAACCTCAACCCGACGACGGCCCAAGCCATTGAACCTCCCGGTCCGAATACCCCTCATTTCCCTCTAGGAACTACACACACACAACACCGCCAAGATGTTTATGGCAAGATCTGAATACGGTAAGGCACCCAAACCACCCATATCACCCAAACCAAGCAACCCAGCTTCTCCCCCCTCCCCCTGTCGAACCTCCCCCCTCGCAGGAAAGCTCTCTTGTCTAACAAATAAACCCCTTCCAACCCAATAGACCGAGGAATCAACACCTTCTCCCCAGAAGGCCGCCTCTTCCAAGTCGAATACTCCCTCGAGGCAATCAAGCTCGGCTCCACGGCCATCGGCGTCGCCACCGCAGAGGGCGTCGTCCTCGGCGTCGAGAAGCGCGTTACCTCGACCCTGCTCGAGACGTCCTCCGTCGAGAAAATCGTCGAGATTGACCGCCACATTGGCTGCGCAATGTCCGGCCTCCAGGCCGACGCCCGCTCCATGGTCGAGCACGCCCGCGTCGAGTCCCAGTCCCACTCCTTCAACTACAACGAGCCCCTCCGCGTCGAGTCGTGCACCCAGGCCATCTGCGACCTCGCCCTCCGCTTCGGCGAGGGCGCCGAGGGCGAGGAGACCATCATGTCCCGCCCCTTTGGCGTCGCCCTCCTCATCGCCGGCTACGACGAGGACGGCCCCCAGCTCTTCCACGCCGAGCCCAGCGGTACCTTTTACCGCTACGACGCCAAGGCCATCGGTTCCGGCTCCGAGGGTGCGCAGGCTGAGTTGCAGAACGAATACCACAAGGTGAGTCCTTCTCTCCCGCCTGGAGCGCCAAAGTGACACAGTGCTAACATACTCCATAGTCCCTGTCAATTACGGATGCCGAGACATTGGTGCTCAAGACGCTCAAGCAGGTCATGGAGGAGAAGCTCGACTCGAAAAACGTCCAGCTCGCAAGCGTAACGAAGGAGAAGGGCTTCAGAATATACACAGACGAGGAGATGGCCGCTGTGGTGGAGAGGCTTCCTGCGAACTAAGGGGGAAACCCCGTGGTGTTTGAAAGATGATCTAGGGTGTAATTTGTCTTGGTCTCAGCAACTCGAGGAAAGAGAAAGAATAAACTCAAGCAGGGGTGGGCGAGGGAGAGAGAGCGCGAAAAAAAGAGAGAAAGCAAGAGACCCAGAAATCACCCGATTACGAAACTTTGGAACCTGATGTCTAGACGAATTTCCCCCTCGAGAAGTGTATCATTATTGTACTCAATGTGATGATGGCTTCGTTCTCTGAATCTCATCCATGGTGGTGACGCTGTGAATGGGCATATTGTATTTACAAAACGTACGACTATGACCTCTCTCCAAGACGTTGTCTAAGGTGCGCCTCCAACCGCTGTCGCGCGTACGCTCACGCTCACAAAACTCGCTATCCAAGGTCCTTAAGGTAGTTCACCGCCGGGAGTCGGCCTCCTCTCATCCCTCATCCTTGATCACCAGCCTCTCCATCTCCTCTTCCACGCTAATCAGACCGAGAGCATAAAACGCCCTCTCCGACTTGGCGACGACGAGCACCGTGTCGTCGCTATCGAGCTGCTCGATGCGTGCGCCGATCCGCCGCGGGTTCGACCACACGGACGGCGGCACCACCGTCTGCAGGCTCGGGTCACGCGCGTACGGCGGTCCCCGGCCCATGGCCGCCGCTTTCTTCCACCCGGACTCGCAGCCCTCGGCGATCTGCCGTGCCGACTGCCAGCCCGTGAGGCGGGCGATGTCGTGCATGCGCCTGACGATCCAGTGGCGCTGGGCGTCGCTTTGGTACTGCGGTGAGTGTTAGCAGGCGTGGTAACTACGACAAGTGGAAGGAAACTCGGGGAATGTCGCTTTGCGTGGGAAAGTAGGGAGAGCAAGGTGGCAAGAAAGGGGTGTCTTCTCACCTGGATAGCGCTGACGAACAGACAGAAAGAACTCTCAATCAGCGCTGCGCCGACGAGGGTGCTAATCTCGAGCACATTGCTGCAATCGTCCGTCAACCCGGCCGCGATCCGCCCAATCTCCATGGCGAACTTGGCCGTGTGCTGCGCCTGGATCCCCGCGGCGATCATAGCGGCGGGCGGCATCTTGGGATGCGCGCGGTAGAGGTGGATGAGGCCCATGTAGTAGTTCATCCAGATGCCCGCCACCGAAAAGGTGCGGTACTGTAGCGTGGGACCAAAGGGCGACTCTCTGCGGTCGGCGTACTCGGCGCCCAGGGGTTGGAATTCGGGGCCGAAGCGGGATCGGAGCATCTCAAAGGCCTCGCGGAGGGAGGTCCATTCGCGCATGGCTGCGTCGGCGGCTGCGTCCGAGTCGAGATCGTCTTGGGCGTCGGGCGGCGGTGGGGAATCGTCCCGCGGGGGGCTGAAGCCCATTGGTAGGGTCACTTTTCCGAGGTTGGGAAGCATGCCCGGGAACATGGGCGGCGAGCCACCGGGACCGCCGGGGCCCATTCCCGGCGGCGGCCCCATTCCTGGCGGCAGCCCTCCCATCATGTTTGGCGGCGGCATGCCCATCGAGTGGCCGCCGGGAGGTCCACCCGGCATTCCTCCCATCATCCCACCGGGCGGCCCGCCTCCGTGCATGCCCGGTGCCATTCCCGGCGGCGGCCCCATCCCTGGCGGCGGCCAACCCTGACCGCCTCTCGGTGGCCCACCCGCACCTGGTGGTCCTCCTTGCGGTGTTCCTTGTGGTGGACCTCCGGGACGTCCACCGGGAGGTCCGCCAGGGGGTCCCCCTGGAGGCCCGAAGCCCTTGAACGATTTCCTTTTCCTCGGGAGATCCTTTGATGCGAAGCTGCACAGGCGCCCGAGCAACAGCATGAGGTGGTCGTACGTTCCGTATCTACTGTTTGTCAGCCAAGTCGTGCCTTACACACTGCGATATGGGTGGACTCACATGGCCTCAAGTCGGCCCATAGGCGCTCGTGGCGGACATTGCGTCCAGTGCTGGTAATCCATGCTGTTTATGCGTGTAAGCCAACCAACCATTTCGACTACATTAGTGGCCAATTCTTATGAAGCTTACAAAGGTTTCCCTCCGCCCAACATGCTCTGGTACACATCCATCTTGCAGTACCACCAGTACAAATCTCTCAGATGTTCGTAGTGCTCGATATCGCGATCCGTGTAGTAGTGTGGAGACGGCTCGTCGTCCTCGTACGAGACGTGCTGGTTGGTGATCTTGCTGAGGAAGCCGAGATCGAGATCGTCGAGATCGTGGCTCATCATATGTGTGTTGTCGTGGCCCATGTAGAACGGGTCCATTGGCTGATTCTGGCTCTCCTGGAACAGCGCCCTCCTCACCCGTTTCAGCGGCAGAATGTTCTTTGTCATTTGCCTAAAGGGTATCTCCCTAATCAAGAGCCTGGATCCAAAGAGATGGTTGCACCACTTTGTGTGATCCGAGTTCCAGACCTCAAAGTACCCGAGCAAGAGGGAGGCGGCCAGTGTTGCTGGCGAAGTTCTCCTCTTAGGACTCCGTAGATTCTTTGCGATCCTGCGGATGGCGAGGTGATAATGCTTCATGGCCGCCGTCGGCGGTATTTGTTGCAGCTTGGCGATTTGTAACGCGCCCAATGCAAGCATGGCCTGCAGGAGGGCAGGATGTGTAAACGATATAATGGGAAACGTGTCTGATCAAGAGTTAGTCAAAGGTGGAATAGCCAGAACCGCAGAATCCCATCATCTCACAGGTCCAGATGTTGTGTCCTGCTTTAGGCACAGAGGCATTGTTTGTCAACTTTGAGTGGTCGAAAGGATGCCGCTCGTATAGCGACATGCTTGGCCCTGTGACGTTGATGAAGTGCCAAAACAAAGCAGCAGTTCGCTCATCGTTGAGTGGCGAATTGTTGGGCGTGGGTATGTACGATGTGAGAATCGTTTCGTCAGCAAAAGCCGAGAAGGACCTCATCTTAGTTCCGAATCCATCCCAAGGTCCATCGTTCCGGCTCTGCACCAGTTGGCCGTACGCGCTCTCTTCGCCCATGAGATCTTCGAATGCGTCCTCGGAGTCGGGCATGGAGGCGTCGTCGTCCGGGCATGGGTACTGGAAGTCTGCATCCTCCAGAGGATGATCCATCTGAGGAGCGGCATTGGCACTGGGATACACATCCATCTCTTCCACCCGCGCCTGAGCTCTCGCCGGCTGATGTCTCCATGGTTCTGTCGGACTGTGGACAAACGCGCCACTATCTGTGTTGGGGCTGACCAAGTTGCTCTGCTGACCACCAAATTGCGCCTGAAATTGACTGGCTGGTGAGATGATGGAAGAGCTTGAGTGCATGTGTTGCTCGCCATACGGGAACTGATTGAAGTCGAAAGCACCAGGAGGAGGGGCCTGGTTTTGGTGTTGACCGGGGAAGCCTTGACCATACGGAAACATCGGTTGGCCCTGGAAATCTAGATGCTGCGGCGGCTTAGGCGCAATCGGTGCCAAAGGAGGACCGTTGATGGACTTGGGCGGCGGGTTGGGCAGTTGGTCGAATGACTGATTTGGCGCCTCGGGAGGATAGATGATAGGACCGTAGCTGCCATTGAGATTGAACCCGGCGATGGGTTCTTTGAAAATGACACGCTGATTGTACCCCTCGCAGTGCCTCTTTGACTTGATGCAGTTGTTACAGATGGGCCGGCCCTCATCGCATTTTATGCGACGTTTGCGACATGCTTTGGAGTCAAGTCAGACTTCGAGACCTAATGTCAACGTGAGGAAGGGGAGGCAGGAGGAAAGGAGGTGGGAGGAGGTCAAGGGTCAAAGTTGGGGGTTCAACACATGGAACATACTGAGACAGCCGGTTTTCGTCCTTTTCCGCACGTTAGCCTTTTCTTTCTTGCGGTTCGCGTCTTCATTCTCATTGTCGTCGTTATTGTTGTTGTTCTCCGAGGTCTTGGACGGTGGCTTGTCGTCCTCGATGACCACGTCGGCGGAATCCATCCTAGTAGATGCTAGTGCGCTGCGAGTAAGATCGGGAGTTGCGACGCGGCTCTTAATCCATGAGTATGTTGACGAAGACAGGCTGCATTGTCTAGTAGTAGTTTGTATTTCTGCGGCGCGGTGATATAGCGAATGTCTCGTTCCCGCAGATGGGAGGGCTCTTCTCTGAAATTCGTGTAGTCCTAGGTAGGTATCGTGAAGCTAACAAGAATGGTTACGAGACAAGCCAAGTTCCGAGGCTTGACCCGCTGTCGAGTATGTGAAAGACTACAGTACTCTCTTCTTAGCCACCAAGCGTCTGGGTGTGTTGTTGAAAAGTCTAGCGGCAGCGCAACGAGACACTGTGGATAATTCCCGTTTCTTGTGCGCGGCACTCGGATCGAAGGAGAGAATCAAAAGGACGCAGGTATGGGGCATCAAGGATGTAGATGAGTTTTAAGCAGCCATAGATGGTGGAAGGAAGTGAAACAGGCCGGTGCTACTTTGTCTTCGGCGAATGGGTTGTCATGGGTTAGACAAGATGCATGGACTCGTGGGGTAGGACGGGGATGAAGGAAGGGTAGGGATGTCTGCAGCAGTTGGGAGAGAGAGAGAGAGAGCGGAGGAAGTGTTTGTCTCTTGCTCACGACACGACACGACATGACACGAGGAACGAGGATTAGGTATCCATAGAAAGAGAGAGAGTGGGAGACAGAGAGAGAGAGAGGCACTTGCCCACCCTAGACAAGGAAGGATAGACTAGGAAACCAGTAGAGGTCCCAAGGCAATGTATTGTGCCTTGAGTTAGGGTATCTGATTCGAGGCTAGAGCAGGCCAGCGTGGGGAGAACAGATGGGCCACAAACAACGGGGGAGCCGCCAAGCAGCAAGTACCTTCTCTCTGGACTAAGAGGAGATCGGGGTGACCGGGGTTGATAAAAGGACGACGAGGATGGAAGCCGGCACCTATGAAGTAGTCACGGTTTAGTAGTGTACCTTATTGTCGTGACTGGTGAGTACCCAGGTGCATCGAGAGTGAGAGACAGAGACAGAGAGAGAGAGAGAGAGAGAGAGAGAGAGAGAGAGAGAGAGAGGGAGAGAGAGAGAGAGAGAGAGAGAGAGGAGGAGGAGAAGGAGAGAGCGAGGCAGCTCAGGAGACACACGATAGAGACAAGACGTACTCCGAACACTCTCTTATCTTGTTCCCCATTCTCGCCTTAGCGGTCAGCGGTCTAGTTCTGTGCCTCTCTCTCCCTCTCTCTCTCTCTCTTCACACACTCTCTCTTACTCTCATTCTCACTCTCACTCTCACGCTGACTCTGTGCCTCTCTCTGGTAGGCGCGGGGACAGGGGGTCATGGAAGCCGCCAATGTCTCTCCTGCTGCTATTGTGACGAGAGAGAGAAACATAAAAAAACGCACCAACAGTTTGTATGGGATCGCTCCCGGGACTTGGATGTATTATTCGAGGGGATGGGATGGGATGGGGGGGAAGCACAAGAGAAGAAAGGCGCAGCTAGTGAGCCAGCCACAGCAATGAAGGGGACGGGGGTACCCTTGAGTTATTCGTGGATCATGTTGGTGGTGCGGCAAGATGACGGGAAGGGAGGAAACATTACGGTGGCTTGCGGACGCCGCACAGCATTGCAACACAGCGCAGCACACCCACATTGGATCTTCCCGCTGGCTGGGCTTGCTTGCTTGCTACTTGGTTCCTTTGGTTCTTTTGGTTCAAGGTCGGGTTCCATCTGGGTACTGGATATCCCCTGTTGCTGGTGCTAAGACACTGGCACCAACTCGATAAATAACCTGCAAGGTAAACACCTCAGCACAGACAGAACATCTGTACCTCGTACGGGATACCTTGTCCTCGGGCAGAGCAACCTGCCGCGGGACAAGATTGCTTGCTTCTTTCGCAATTCCATTCTCCCCGCGGCGCCAGAAGGGAATCAAACTGCCACATCGGGGGGGCGCAGGGCGGTAGGTAGTAGTTAAGATGGTGTAGCTTCGAAGCTCCGTCATGATTCTGGCCAAGGTTCCGCGCTAGGATGATGCGCTGCTGCACTGCTGCTGGGCCGCCTAGACTTAGACCGTTTAGGCCTTAGGGTCCCCTCGGTTACTACTGGAAGAGGGGCCGACGGCGGCGGGCGGCGACGGCCAGGTACTTTGTGCGGACACCTCTGGTCTCTACCCTCTTCCAGCCTTCCAGGGCCCAGGGGTCTGTCGTGTCCCGGATGACAGCCCATCGGTGGATATAGCGCGCGGCACTAATTAAGGTAAGGCCAGCTAACGTGCCTTCGTCGCTCAGGCAGTCGGCCTACATATACGGTTGTAGTCTGTCGGTAGTGTAGGTGCCGGTAGACCAAGACTCTACGGAGTACGGATACCAAGTACCAACATCCCTGGCCTAAGAAGGTTCTGACTGATCTCTGCCGGTTGGGCTCAGTCGAGGTAAGTGGGTGTGCTGAGGCTGAAAGAATGAGAAAAGTAGAGGAAACTCGGGGGAGCCAAGACCTGCGCGGGATTCCGGGAAGGCATTCGAGGCACCCACGGCACCGAGCCTCCTCGCGCCTCGCGTGGCTTTTCTTCTTCCCCTTGGTGACAACCCATCCGGATATTCCGATGAGCTAATCTGTACAGATGTAATTGCGCACGGAGATTGGGAACCGTAAGAGCTTGGATAGGGGAGCCGCCAAGCTGAAAAAATCCAACGGCCTCATCCAACAAACTTTGTCCTCGCATTCCCGGGTGTCAGGCCAAGGTCGACAGGGCGTGCCCAGGGCAGTCCGTAGGACCGTAGGTACGGATTTTGTGGACAGTGGACGACGGCACGAACCATTAGGCTGCGTGACCAGGTATCAACGTGACATGCCGTCCGAATGAGACAGCCCGCCTGAGTCGCAGACTCGCAGTCTCTCGCAGACGACATGGGGGCAAGAGATGTAGATGCCGAATCTGATTTTCGTCCGAGGTTTGAGTGGTCTGGACTCACTTCCCGACAGGGTTGCCCAGCCTGCCAGCCTTCTTCTGCCCCTCACAAATCCTCTGCCCTAAGGTAAGCAATGACCAAGCGGTGATCTGGTGGGGAGAAAAAACGGTCGACAGCATGCGGAATTCGTTGAGGCCTTGCGCGAAGTCTCTGGCTCGGGATCGGTCTTCCTGAGCGCCCGTCATCGTTGAGATTCACGAACCGTCCGTCCGTAGTTCTGATGTTGGCCCTCAGCCAGGTCTGGAGGTGGTCATTGTTGAAGTGGCATCTTGATAGGTTCTCGGCCACCGCCGACGGCAACGCGCCGGTGGCGTCTCTGTCCAGGCGGGATAGATCCACTTGCTTTGAGCCGAATTACCATGTGCCGAGCGGGAAACTAAGGGGTTTTCCCCCCTTGGCTTTTCTGCGAGGTCGGGGTTTGTATAGAAGCCGTCTCGTTCTTGTTACTTGCAAATGGAGGGGCATGACCTGATAATCCATATCGTCGTGCACAAGCGTTGAGAACAACGGCACGCGTGGCAGAAGGATGGGCCAAGTGTTCGGGCGTATGTCATGTTCCCTGCCCAACTATCCGCACTTATCATCCAAGCATCGTCAGGGTCCATATCTGCTTGCTGCGAGCATTTCGCCGGGACGCACTGGACGGGAGAACAAGGCGTCGGAAATAATGTGTTGCTGAAGGATTCCGGCAACATTCCCCCGTCCGAGGGTGCTTTCCAATACATCCAAGATCCAAGTCGGGGGCCAATCGTCGCGTTTCCGACCTGCTGGATGGTGTGACCGATCACTGGTCGCAGCATCGTTGACTGGCATACGGTGCAACACAAACGTCGCGCATTGTTGAACGAAAGGAGGCGTGCTGATCACCGCGAGCCACCTTCGCCCATGCTCTCCTGAACGAACAGGTCACATCCAGCTCCCTATATCGTCGATGGCCTTGTACACTCCCGGTGCCCCTCGATACGCGCAGGAACACACCGCACCTTGGCAGATTTCCCCAGACGTTTGTTTACTCTATCTGATCTCAGTCGAAGCCCGCAACAACGGTTGCTGCAGGTCAGATATGCAACTTGCCTTCTCGCAGCCGCAAAGTCCGGCTCAAGGTCTGCATAGCACCAACCGGAAGGGCAACAGCTTTCGGTCCTCCTGAAGTACGTCCCTGGGTGCTTTTGATAGTTTGATTCGCGAGTTGTCTGTGGACTTGGGGTCGGTACTTCGCTGGACGCTCCTCGCTTCAACAATCAGAACAGACATTCAGTCTTGCGCCTCGGCGGTCAACTTGGGACTTGTGTCGCAACCAACTTTTCAGGAAGCTGACTGTAGCATTCGAAGGTCTCTCTGGAAGCTCGTTATTCGCATTAAAGTCTTTCAGACATCTCCAGCTGGGCTCTTGGAAAGAGAGTGATCTGAAAGACGGTTCTCTGCACTCGAACAACTAAGGTCCTTTGACCTGCCACACCGTTTCTCCCCACTTCGTCTCTCTTTCGCACCGAATGTAGCAAAGCGTCCACTGGCAGCCTTCCGTTGAACCGGGCAATACGCCGTACCCATGTTTTCGGGCCAAAGATCGGTGCTTCTGTATTGAATCGACCTATGCCGAGAAACTGGTTAATTATCCGCATGCCAGTCGGGTTCCAAGTGTCGGAGCCTTCCTCCATCGGGCAAAAGAGGTCTGATGGCGGAGGTCCTCCCATTGATATTTTAGCAGGTGGTATTCCTGTACTTACAGGTCTAGTCACTTGACAGACAGACGGATATGGCTGTGGAGAGGAGTGTCCCCCGCGAAATCGTCTTGGAATGGGAGCGCGAGAAGCCTGATGAAAGTTACTGACGTCTGACCTGGGAATCGAGAATTGCAATGTACATCCCGTTTCACCAAGACGACGTATGTATCATGCGACCAATGGCTTACTTCTTGGATCATACTCCGTCCGCGACTCGGAGGTATTGAAACCCGGCGCCAAAATACACCCTACGAACCGGGCAAGTTGTTTTCGTCTTCTGAGTTGCATGCGGCCGGATCCGGGAAGGAGT